TCTTGAACCTACGTGTTTTTCTAACATCATGAATGACTAGGTACTTATTGGTCTAAAGAACCACATAATTTAGAAACAGTGAGTCATAGCAACATCATGATTGGTTACTTATTGGTCTAAAAACCACATAATGTAGAGACAGTGAGTCATAGAAACATCATGATTGGTTACTTATTGGTCTAAAAACCACATAATGTAGAGACAGTGAGTCATAGAAACATCATGACTAGTTATTTGTCTAGACTCTAGAAAGTACAGGCTCACGAAACAATGAAATATAATACCTTAAAATTATTTACTGATTGGTTTTAAAAAACCACAGATTCTAGAGACAGAGTAAAACAGCAACCTTTTGAATTTTTAGTCATTGTTTTGTAAACCACAATCTTCAACTAGATTGATATATACATATATGAAGTTCATGATCCCATACCGAGTGATTTCTCTACTCATTGGTTATCCAAACCTTTAATAAGTGGCTCAGAAAAGGTGAAACAATTTTCTAGGAATTTAATACTGACAGTTTCATCAAAATGTGATTAACATATGTATGACATAATAATATCATAGTGTTACGTCTCTGTTCGTTTGTTAATTTCCCGTAGAAATTCTTCCCGAGAAACTTCAGCGATACAAGTCTTTTCTTAAATAAAACTAGTTTATTCTTTCTCAATTTAACTTTGCAATACACTTAATTTCCACAGTCACTTTAACTTAATCACACGCCAGAATTCACAACGATTCATGCACTTTACTTACTGCTTGACTCGATTATCTGTCTCTATATCTCTCTGTTTGCAATTTAATTATCTATGCCGTTTCTTCTCGCCGGTGTTATATATACAAAATAGAGGGCGTCTAGCAAATACTGGAGCCTTCAGTAACGTTCGAGATACTCATTACGTGTTACCAGATCACGTAACTTCTGCTGTCGTAACAATAGTTTAAATTTCTTAACTAATTTTAAGCTGTGACATATTTGTTTGAGTTGAGTGTTGGGTTTCAAGTATAGCTATAGTAATAGTTTGATTATAAAACTTCAATACAAAACAAAGCTTGATAAAGGTGCCAGAGATATAAACATCAAATGGTAATGTCGTTTTCTATTTTTCAGACTGACAACTAAATTTTCTTGTTTTGAATTCTTCTTTGGAAGTCTTATTGTAATTTGTATTAAGTTTAAACAAATAATGAATGTGAGCTCAAAAGCTAAAATTGAGACGATTTTTTGTGTTCAAATTCTAGGTTTTTAAATGTTCGAAATTTATCTAAGCACATTATCAATTTACTTCTTTCTAATTAATCAAACCATTGATACATTTTAAGATGATCATAATATTTTAGTGAGAACTACAAGAAGAGGAAATATAAACAAAATACTTAGGTATTAAGTCCTAATCAGATAATAAAAACCCACATCTCAGTGTGATTATCTACCCATAATTCATAGAGTAAGTATTTTGTAAGTTTTCCTAGGCAACCTACAGTCAGCCATTGGTTGATGTGCTGTATGTCACGTTTCAAAAATCGAGAACCAAAAGTTTAACTAAAGTTATAAAAATAAACATACACGTGGAAACGTAAAATGAAATACGCTATAAAATACTGTTTTTATAACCCGTTACATAAAATTTTATGTATATCTTATACATCTACTGGTACCTCCCAAGTTCCACGTGAAATTGTTATACATGATACATGAAATAGATTCTCTTGATTTAGAATTTTGAAATGTAATTCATTACCATAATAGCTGTACAGCAGATAAAATGTATTGTTGTCTGGAAACGAGACCTGTTAGTTGAATAAAATACCATTTTTTACTGCTACTCGTGTTCTACAATAAACTGAATACACAATTTTAAAATAATCAGAATACACAGTTCCACAGGGTCGTACAACAATCTGAATACACATTTCTACAACATCCTGAATGCACAGTTCTACAGCGATCTGAATATACAGTAGTACAAAAATCTAAATACACTCTTCTATAACAATCTGAATATACAGTCACACCGGTCTCACACACACATTGACGTACCATTCATTGTGAGAGAAATCAATGTGCCAAAAACTATGGTGAATGATTGTGAGGTTAGCTTAGGCCCTCCAATCATTGTGCAGACCAAATGATCAATCATCAGTGATAATAGGCTTTATCTAGAAACGTTTGTTATGTTATTGCGTGAAGTCTGGGCTTTGATGACTCGTTTGTTATCCACATATAGAAAAAGAGTTTGTGTACCAACACTACACTATATAAGTGTGGAAAGCTCTTGATGATGCACAGGGTCCACCATCTTTAATTAAGAACCTCTGGTAGAGGCACAAATGAAAGATGCAGAATCAAATGAGCATAGAACACACATCTGATCCCCAAGAGGTGGTAGAGAAGGTGTGATGGATGTTCAGCCCTTTTGTACACTTCAACTAAATACTTTGTCTCAGCCACTACGAGAACTGAACAACTCCCAAATGGATCAGGGTGAAATTCCTATTGGCGACAGGAATGTATCAAAGCAGTTTTCAATGCAAGCAAGTTAGATGAGGTTGTGGGATAATTCAAAACGAGAATAAAAAAGTACAATACTTCCAGAAAAATGGCTACATAGCTACCTGAAGCTATTGCCTAAACTAGGGAAGGATCACACAAAAATGGGTGGCTACTGTGTAATTATGATGCAGAATGTGAATGACAGCTCCTTGAAAAGACCATTCCTAAGATATTGATGCTTAACTTGGAAGACAGAGAAATCATACTAAACAATATTGGATTTTATAGTTCAAAGAAGACCAGATGGGCTTACACAGGAGTTTTTGCCTACAATGTGTATGAAGGTTTTCAGAAAAAGTTTTAAAAAATGGATGCTGTGCTGGATTTAGAGGATGCCTACAATAGGGCGAAATATGGACATTTGATGCATATCCTTATGGTTTGTTTGTTTGTTTGTTTTGAATTTTGTGCAAAGCTACACGAGGGCTATCTGTGCTAGCC